CAAAACATGTTCTTGCATGTACAACCCAAATGATTTATTTTATATTTTATAACTAATAGTATGATTGAATTTTTCATTCTAGGCGAATTTATATTTGTTTAGTTTCTTTACATCATATAAGAAACTTTTTACTTATAATTAATTTTCTTTTTTTTTTATAAATAAATTTTTACTGACGAATGACTTTTACCCTATAGGTAAATTTTTAAACAATGAATGAATTTTTTTCATAAAAGTAAATTTTTACGCATATGTAAATTTATTTTTATATAAACTTGTTTATATATGGATATAGGTGTTTTAAAATGATTGATAAAACGATATTCTAAAATTTTGATTACTTTAACCAATCATAAGGAGTTCAAATGAGCACACTAAATAGTTCCTAATTTAGATAAAGTGCAATGACTGATTCCTGAGCCTTATTAACATGAATATAGTGTTTTTCGTATATAATGACAGGATTTTAAGAAGTCAATTCAATTAACAGAAGCAATTATAGAAGCCTCCAAAAGTAGTTATATTGTGATGCAAGTTTGCTATAATTACCATCCATTGCTTATTTTTAGCTACTTAATAACAGATTAAGAAAATGGATCTGGTATGTTTGATTTTAGCTACTTAAATTATTAAGTGTGGTTTTTATTTATTGTGTTTGAATGGGAACTCGCGAAATCCCCTTCAAAATAAACGCTGATAATAACATGTTGAATTTAAGACTCAAAGAAAAATATTATTTTATTTAAAAAACAGATTTTACACATGTTTGGACACACTTACACTTATCTACTTTAATTATATGGAAACACTCCTCACCAAAACACTACGTTGCCTCACCATCTCACTTTTCTCACTTTTTCTTCGTGCTTTCACGCATACCTACATTCAAACAAGGCACGCACGCATGCACGCGCGCGCGCACACACACACATACACACTTCTATGGTGGTGGCAAACTCATCTACAATGGAGGTGGAGGATAAATCATACAACAATATTCTAGATCCTTCTTCTCTTTGTTGAAGTTGCATTCTCCATATTGTTCCCTACCTACTTCAAGAATTGAATAAATATTGTGTCTATAATTTTTCAAGTCACTTGAATGGATGAATGGAGAAAGACCTAGCACATTCTAGAAATGTCGGTGCTACATCTTCAATTCTCCCCTTCAGCAATGACATTTAATTTTTACTCTTTTCTTTCTTTTCTTTTTTATTTACGACTCCCAGTTGTACTCAAAACTCTTCAAAATTTGAAGTACTGAGTCCTTTTGTTGACACGTTTGTAACTTGTTTTTTAGCATTAACGTGTTTCATGTCCATCTCCCCTTTAAACACTTTTTCTTTGATGAAATGATAGTGCACTTCAAGATGTGGTGTCTTCTGCTATTAACGGCGTGCATTGCATACTGTGAAAAATGCATTAACAGCATGCATTGCATACCGTAAAAGGATGCGAGAATTTATGGCATGGCTTTATAAGGCATGCACCTGTACGCCGTTAAAAGTAAATTTTGTTGTAGTGTTTCCATGAAGTAGCTTGCTATCCTAGCTGCATATGCATTGTCTGGTCATGTTAGCGTCAAATAGATTAAGCTTCCTACTAGTTGTCGATATATGGTTGCATCCCCCAAGTTCTTGCCTTCATCTATACATAGCTGGGAGTTAATATCAATTGGTGTTGATATTGGTTTGCAATTGATCATTCCAAACTTCTGTAAGAGATCTCTACAATATTTGTGTTGACATAAGAATAATCCTTTTTTTTTTTCTTTCCATCTCGAGTCCAGTAAATGATTTAGCTCTCCAAACTCTTTCATTTGGAATCTTACTGATAGATTTTTTCTGGTTTGTTGGATTTCGTTTTCATTGTCTCTATTGATGATAAGATCATCCACATATCATAGCACTATTGTTAGTATACCATTATGTGCTTTGACGAATAGACTCGAGTTTGCTGGTGCTACTGAATATCCAATTTGAACTAAGAATTCAGCTATCTTATAGTACAATGCCCGTGGTGCCAGCTTCAACCCATAAAGAGCTTTCTTTAGCTTGCAAACATATCCTGGCTTTCTTTTATTCTCGAAGACCTTTAGCTGCTCCATTTATACATGTCAGTCAACTTCTCCATGGAGAAATGCATTTTTCATGTTCATCTGCCACAATTTTCAAGATTTATTTAGTGCAAAAGCTATAGGTACTCATGTTTAGTAATCTTTGCCCACTGGACTAAACGTCTCATCATAGACCAAACCATATTGCTAGGAAAATCCATGAGCTACTAGTTGTGCTTTGTAACTTTCAATTGATTCATTTGAATATTTCTTTACACTGAATACCCACTTGCAGGATATAGGCTTTACTCCATTAGGCCTTGGCATCAAATCCCAAGTCTCATTTTTCCTTAGAGCCATGAACTCTTCTTCCATTGCTTTTCTCCACTCCTTGTGTTGGATAGCTTCTTCAAAGGTCTCTAGCTCTTTGGCACTATCATCTTCTTCTACTACTATGTTAGCATACTTAGGATTTGATTTTCTATATCTAGTTGATTTTCTCAATTGTGGATGTGGGTTTGTCAGCACCTCAACCTCTTCTTGTCGACTTGGCCATATATCCTCTGGTGTTGGCTGATTTATATCTGCCAAGGACTTTGTGTTGCGCCAGTAGACTCTTTCTCTCATCACTTAATTATTGTGCATCCTTTGTTTCCTTGGGACTTTATTGTGCTTTTGTGATCTTCACTTGTAATTTGTTATCTATTTCCTTTGAATCTAGTAACTCCACTCTCTCCAATGTCCACCATGAAGATATTTAGTCAAACACCACATTCCTTGATATGTAATAATGATCACTTATAGGGTCGCAGCATCTCCATCCTTTTCTTTGATTGTCACATCCCATAAATATACACCGGATTGCCTTTTTATCAAACTTACTCTTTAAGTGAGCAGGGACAAACACATAACAGATGCATCCAAAAACACGAAAGTAACTTACTATTGGCTTCATTTTCTATGGTTTCTCATATGGTGAAGTGAACCCCAGCTTTGGTTGTGGTAGCCTATTGATCACATGTACTAATATCCTCATACACTCAACCAAAAACCTTTATGGCACATTCTTTACGTGTAGTATAGTTTGACACGTTTTTACAAGGTGTCGATTATTTCTTTCTACTAAACCATTTTTGCTATGGCTTGTCCAGACATATTAAATGATGATGTGTCTTATGTTTTCTTAAGTACGAGAAGAATTATATTGATGTATACTCTCCTCCATTATCCATGCGTAGGCATCAAATTTTATTTTCAACATCTCATTCTATTTTATCTATAGTCCTTAAACTTTATAAATGTCTCAGATATTTCTTTCATTAAAAAACCCAAATGTACCTTGAGAAGTCGTAAATAAATGTCACCATGTAGCGCATCCCTTAATTTGATGGTTGTTTGATAGGTCCAACACACATCACAGTGTATTATCTCTAGTGGTTGCTTTGCTTTATAACTTGATTCCTAATACGACAATTGATGTGCTTTACTGTATTCCTGATACAACAGCTGATGTTCTATTTAGGGAGACCTTTGAGCACGACTTCTTCATCATATCTTCATCTTGTGATAACTCGCATGTCCTAGCCTTGCATGCCATAAATATACTGTCTTGTTATTTTGAGCCTTATCTACGTATGTAGATTTTGTTGACATTACATAGATGGACTCTAACTTATGTCCCTCTAGTATTCTTGTACCTAAAATTGTGATATTTCGATACACCTTGACATCTTTTCGGTCTAAATAGAACATAATTATCTGATGATGTTAACTTGACCACTAATAGGAGATTTTTCTTCATATTTGGCACGTGATAGATGTCTTGTAATTATACCTAACTAGGGCTAAAATGAGGCGTTATAACTGTCTTACCAATGTAAGCTACTAGCAATCTTGAATTGTTGGCAGTTACTACCATTTGGCTTCATCTGTACTCCATTGTATATAGTAGCATCTTTTTATCACCTATCACATGGTTCGGACATCAAGAGTCGACAATCCATTCATTTTCGTAGTTTATTTGTCAAGGGAGCATCACCACTAGTGTTGATTCTTCCTCGAAGCATTGGCTACATTTCTCTCCATGAGTTTGTTCTACAAGCAATGCTACGGCATCCCAGTCTTCCTCACTATTATTTTTTTCTCATTCAATGGATGCTACCATATTACCTTTTGCTGGTCTTTTCTTGAATCGATAATCTTTGGAATAATAGCCTTGTTTTCCACAAACAAAACATAAGCTAATATTTCATTGAAATCTCTTGGATGACTTGCCTCTTTTATCGCGATTTTGTTGAGCTCCCCCTGTTTGATAGCTTCCTTCACATTTATTTTCTTTACTACTTTGTTGATGAAATCCACTGTTTTTTATAGCTAAATAGTGCTACTTTATCTTCTTCCTTTATCGAGACCCCTAACATTTGCTTGGTCGATGCTTCTTGATCGACAAGCAAATTCTCGAGATTGAACAATGAAGGTTGCTCTTTCCGACCTTATATTGCAGCAATAAAACCTCTATATTCAGGTCTTAATCCATGTATAATTATTCTTCACACTCTGGACTCCCAAAATCTTACTCAAAGAATCTAATCCGGAAATTTCGCAACAAAAAGATTTAACTTTGTTGAAATATTGACTTACCATTAATTCACCTTGAGCAATCGAGAGAAGCTCATTCACCAAAAGCTATAGTCTCCAAAAGCTATACTCTCAGTTCATTTTTCTTCGAGAATGGTGAAACCAAATTCTCCCATGCTTCTTTTGGTGTAGTCTTGTCTTTTATCTGCTCCAACTATTCTTTCTCAATTGTTATCTTTATAATAAATAAAGTCTTACCCGCTTTGATTCTCCACTTTTTCCAGAGCTATAGCTTCCTCTACTGGTGTCACATCACTTCCACCAACAACCTCCCACAAGTCTTGCCCACATAGGACTCAATGCAAGTATGTCATGTGGTGTAGTTCTGGTTATTGAGCTTCTTTATTCCGCCTATCACTTGTAGGTTGCTCATCGTGATTTGATTTACCCCCTCATAATTAAGCAAACTTTACGAAAGTTTGATATTCTCCTTTTGTGCATGAACTTAAAAAGCTCAAAGAAAAATATTAACCGCCTTGCTCTCATACCAAATTGTTGAATTTAAGACTCAAAGAAAAATATTATTTTACTTTTGAAATAGATTTTACACCTTTTTGGACAAATTTGCACTTATCTACTTTAATTATATGGAAACGCTCCTCACCAAAACCCTACACTACCTCACTGTCTCCCTCCTTCCCTCTTTTTCTTCGTGCTCTCACGCATACATACATTCACACAACACACACATAGATAACAACTTCTACAGTTGTGAAAAATTTTTAGTTGCGGCATTGAATTCTACTTTCGACGTAAAATTCAAATCTAAAACCCTCGTTTTCAATTCTCATGTCATGTCATCGATCTCCACCACACCTCTAACCATCAATCAAATTTTAACACCCCACCCACTAAATTCCTATATTAACCCTCTACATACCTCATCATCTCAATGAAATCTCGGCCCTTTCTACAAATTCCACCTCTAATTTCCATTTCTTTTTGGGGTTTGCAGTAAAATTTGAATATGAAAATGTGTTCAACTGGCCTCCAACAAGGGCGGTAGAGGGAAGCCAAGTCATGGAATTCTGTATCTCGATCTTGTAGATGGCTTCAAATTCCCATTAGAATAATTGTTCGATATCTGCGGGCTGGAAAGTATGAAGAGCTTTTTGTCTCCTGTGCATTGGTCTACCTCTTCATCGATTTTGAATGCCTTGCTGATGAGGTGGGTTAGGGGTTTTGTTTGCTCTCATTTCATATATTTTTTTAGTTTGGGGATTTTATTACATGGTTCTGTTGGTTTGTGTTTTGGAGCTTGCAGGAAATGAGGCCAGGGACAAGAATAATGAAATCGTACCAAGGCATATTTGTTACCTGTTTATCTATTTGGGTGATTGCATTTTTTTGGCTACCTTGCATTGTTTGCAGCACCAAATTACATGAAAAGAATATTCTATTATGTGGCAAAAGATTTTTTTGGATTAAATTGGATATATATGCCAATTAGATGTTACTATCGTTTTGGGACTTCATTACTGGTTTATATTGTTACTCGTATATCCCTGTAGTTGCATTCTTTCTCTTCTATCGATTACAAACCAGAATCTTTACATTCATATTTTTATCGATGCTTGTTCTCAATGGTGAATAATTCATTCTGAAGATGGTTTCTCCTTTAGAACTTCTGGTGCAGTAATCCCCTTCTTTTAAATACATTACGTTACTTGCAGATGAATCTCATGAGTTATATTGTAGCTGAGTAGGACAAATTCTCTAGTTTTTTCTTCAATTGACAATCTTTTAATTATATAAATGTGCTTGGTTTAGGAGGGAGTTTTAAAACAGTTTAGGCATCCATTTAACATCCGTCGCATGTGAATTGCACGTGAATCGCACATGTTATATTGTAGCTGGATAGGATAAATACTCGACAATGTGATTTCTTTTTAGATAGTTTATGAAATAAAGATATGTAAAGATTCTAGAAGTCACGTTTGTTATTACTACTTGACTTGATGAAAATTCCATCTCATAAGTCAAGCAATGGATAGTGATTATAGCAGGCTTGCGTCACAATATAATCCCTTTTGGAAGCTTTTATAATGGATTCTGTTAATCGAATAGATTTCTTTAATTAAATCCTTCTCTATGACAAGAAAACACGATAATTTAGTAAAGCTCAAGTATTAGTCATTTTACTTTAACTAAGTTATGAATTGTCGAGTAAGCTTATTTGAACTTCTTGTGGTTGGTTAAAATTATTGGAGGAAAGAGGGGTTTACTAACTTGGATTGGCTAATGCCTTTGAGGAAGACTACACTAATAGGATGAAGGAAGTGAACAAAAAGAAACTTGTATTTCTCAACTCCAAAACTTACACAGTTGGCTTGTTACAAAATGGAGAACCCTACCCCTTTATATAGTGTTTATATAAAACTTCTAGTCCACACAATTTCTAAGGACTCCTAGACCACATATTTACATAAGACTTTTAGATCACACATTTGGACAAAATATTTTCCTAGAATACTCTAGATAGATTGTATATATAAGACCACATATTCTTCTTGTCACATTACCACATTTATCACCACATATTTTACTTAAATATTTATAGATTTTTCTAGACAATGTTTCGAGAAATGCTAGGCATTTTTGGCTTTTTAATTGATTTAAGTGTGTGAACAAAATACTTAAACTCATATTATTTAGTCCAAGAAATAAAGTTTACTACTCAACAACAATAATCAAAAATTCAAATTATCATTTTATCAATCTTTGAAATAGACCTTCCACATATGGATAGCTCATTTGAATTTTAAAGAAGGATAACCTATTGGAATTTAAATCTTTTTGATATAGCTAAAAGGATAGTTCTTTTGAATTTAAACTCATGTATAAGCTACAAAGTAGAGTAGTTATTGTATTGAGCTCTATATATAAAGAACGTGTATTCACGATTCAATATATAAAAAAATCACAAACCTATTATTCTCTCCTGTGCTTCCTTATCCCAACTTCTTCTCACCATCAATACCAATCTTAATCACACAAACTACCCCATGCGGAGAAATCATGCCCTATCCTACTTCCATGGTCAGTCCATTTTTGGTTACATTCATGGCATAGTGAAACCACCTCCGAAAGAAGTTGATTCCCCGCATCACATTTCTGATGCTCTCTTCCAGATTCCAAACCTCAATATGAAACAGTGGCCTGGATTCATTCTTCATTCCCACCATAAATACTCCCCTCACTGAAACTTTCCTCACTCAGATCATGGCCTACAATATCTCCTTAGAACTATGGCTTGCTGTCAAATGCAATATCTCCTCATTTCCTCGCACTTGAACTGTTCAAATCTGCACTAGATTTAAATATTTAAATTTTAAATTTTTAACTTTATTTAATTTTTTAAGTTAAATATTATCTTATACACAAAATAAATAAATAAATTATTTATTAGTAAAATATCACTTATAAGTAAAAAATTCATATAAGAACCCATAAACTGAAAATTTTACTTAGGGACATGCATATAATTTTATTCTTTTAAAAATCTTTCTAAACTAGTGGATAATAAACTCTGAAACATAGGTTTGATACTTTTAAAAATCGCTACTAAAACCACAAAAAAATTGAACTGCTCGAATTCTCTGTTGGAAGAATCGATAGATTTATAAGGAATAGAAAGTTTGATGAGTGTGTCGACGCCGTTGCCCTGGTTTGCCTCTCTGCCATTCTTGAATACCTTGCTGCCGCGATGGGTTATTGGTTTTGTTTGTTCCCATTTCGTACATTTTTTATGTTCAGAATTTACTATATGGTTCTGTTGATTGAGGTTTTGGAGCTTGCAGGAAACGAGGCCAGGGACAAGAAGAGGAACAGGATTGCGCCTAGGCATAAACAATTGGCTGTAAGGAATGATGAAGAGTTGAGCAAGCTTTTGGGAAATGTTATGCAAATGGTGGGGGTTCTGACTAACATTAATCAGTATTTGTTGCCAAAGACAGCTGCCAGAAAAGAAAAAGAGATTGGCTCTGCTTCGCAATAGTTCTACAGTTTTTAATGTATTATTTACAGTTTTTGGATGGATATTAAGCCCTTATTTGATCACTATTATTTGAAACTCTTTTTTCTGCATTCTCACTTTCAACCACATATCCACACAATGTAATATTTTGCATGTAATCCAAAACTTTTCCTTACTTTTAACTACACATTTTCCTAAAAAACACTGTCCAAAACATAGTTTTCCAAGATAATGGTTGTCAAACAATGGCCAAGGGTTTTGGTCTTCAGATTTTTATCAGTTAAGACTCTTCTAAAATATAATTTTTTTTGTTTAATTGTACGAGTCTATGTTTTTTTATTTAATATGTCAATAATCAGTTGTCTTAAGATTATGCGACTGAAGACATAGATGTTGCTTGCTTAACTATTTGGTGGTAACTGGCATTGTTTGATATATCGAATGGGAATGAATATTCTATTATGTGGCATATGATATATAAAGCACTAATCTTTGGAGTAAATTGGATATGAATGCCGATTGGATGTTTTATAAGCACCCTCAATTAAGTTAATATGGGTATTAGTAGCACCAACGTTGAAAACAACTAAATTGATCATTGTTCGTTTTCGATCTAGTACTCAACATATTTGGAACATAAACATCAATGGGTTTCATGATTTGGACTCAGTCTACCCATTTGTACTCGTATTTAAGGTTTGTAGACGTGGTCGGACATTTCTCTGGCTTGTAGAACTCAGCGAGGATTCTTTATAGTAGATTTACTTGGTTGATGAAATCTACACATTGTTGACAGTAAGCTATCTGAAGCCCTTTAGTTATATCCTTCCCAGGTGGTAGCCTTACAGCTTCTCTCAGGTTTTCACTGCCTAAAGTTGCATCAATATGTTTTCTTGGTTGTACCATCTTAGTTTGCCATAACATTCTTTGGCTCCTTCAATTGCTAAAAAAATAAAAAAGCCTAATGCCTCTTCACAAAGAAGAGGATAGAGAAACTAGTTTCCTCCCTATTATTCAAACATAGAGAAATAATTACCACATAGGGCTAATTACCCAATCTAATTTTGTATCTGCATTCAATGTCTCGTATAAAGAAAATTACTTTTGTACTAATGGAAGCGGACCCTGGTGAAAGTAAACCAATATTCAGTGACTAAAAAGTTAAAATTAAGTAAAATTTATATTATAAGTTATCTATACCTAACAGAACACTTATGATGCACGTGCAACACATGTGATGTATTTGATTATGTAATTGAATGTCTAATTCTTGGTGAATTTATATTTATACGAGATTCTTTTTTTAACGTCCGAGAATATTATTTACTTACAAGTGAAAATTTTCTTATAAGTAATTCTTTTGACTTATAATTTACTTATTAGTAATTTTTTTACCATGATTGGATTTTTCGTGCAAGTTAAATTTCTACACATGAGTAAATACACACACACAAACAACTTATTTACTTATGAATATATGTGTTTCAATTCAATTCAAAATTTCCATATTTTTCATGAAGTATTTGAATTAATATTATGGTCTAAATCTATTCATAGAGGGTGTTATTTTAACCGTGTTGACTAAAGGGAGGTTAGGACCAATGGCATACATCCACCTTGGCAAAAGTTAGCCCATATTTAATTCTTAAAAACATGAAATTAAGTTAAATTTTTTTATTATGAGTATACATATTTTAATTCAACTAATTTTACTCCTTATTGTTCATGAAATAGTGAATTTAATATATGTTTTAAAGCGTTACATAGACATTATTATTCCAATCCCATAGACTATAGGGGTATAACACCCCATATTATGTTATTTTGGGTGTTAATTACAATAAACGTTGAATAAGATTAAATTGATCTTACTACAACTGGGCATTGAGCCATTCCTTCATGTACTCAACATATTTGGGAATGGAAACTTTGCGTCTTCCCATGTGTACTCCTTTTTTGGGTTAGTATATATTGTTTGACAGTTCTATGGTTTACAAAACACAGTAAGGGCTCCATAGAGCAGATTCATATGGTTGATATCTACAGTGTTGACAGCAAGCCATTGATTTATATATATCAGAGGTGGTTGCCTTGCAGCTTCTCTCAAGTTTCCACTTCCTAAGTTTGCATTTTAAGCTACTTATATTGTCTACTTTTTTTTAACAAAACATGTGCTTGCATGTACAACCCAAATTATTTATTTTTAATTTATAACTAGTAGTATAATTGATTTTTTTATTCTAGGTGAATTTGTATTTGTTTAGTTTTTTTTATACCATATGAGACTTTTTACTTATAATTAATTTTATTTTTACTTATAAATAAATTTTCACTAACGAATGACTTTTACCTTATAGGTAAATTTTATACCATGAACGATTTTTTTCTTTTCATAAAAATAAATTTTTACGTATATGTTTATATATAAACTTGTTTACTTATGGGTATAGGTGTTTTAAAATGATTGGTAAAATGATATTTTGAAATTTTTGATTACTTTAAACAATCATAAGGAGTTCAAATGAGCTTACTCAAATGTTTCTGATTTAGTTGAAGTGCAATGACTGATTCCTGAGCCTTACGAACATGAATATACACTACAATAAAATGTACTTTTTACGGCGTGCATTGCATGCCATAAAAACCAATTTACGGCATGTGGCGGCATGCCATATAAAGCAATGCCGTAAAAAGTATTTCCTTTTTACGGCGTGCAATGCATGCCGTCTGTGAACACCATCAAAACCTTTTATTTTTTAATGGCGTGCATGAGGTCATGTATTTTTTTTTTTAAAAAAAATTGTTGATTTATTTGATTACCAATAGTAATTACAAATCAAAATTCCATAAATATAACCGGGTTTTTCATAGATTCCATAAATATTGAGTACAGTTTAATACAATATATCAATGTAAAATTCATTTCAATACTTCTCAAAAAGTATATACCACTTCAGATAAAAAAATAATTCTTGGTGCCTTTGAAACTTCTTCACTATGCAATTACAACTTCTTGCTATTTCTTTGTCTTCTTTCCTGCTGCATTTATGAGAGATAAAAATTGTATAAATGCTAACTAAAGGAAAGGTCACTGAACATATCAAGAAAATGTAAAACGAACCTTTTGAAGGTTGGTAACAATATCCATCGTAAGCTCTGAATCTGCGGGTTCTTGATAATCAATTTTAGCTCCTTGAACACCCTTTGAGACAACAGTGTTCGTGTTCTTATCAGCATAAAGAAATTCCTAAAAAATTAACATTGATCCCCTAATGATCTCTGTCAACAATGTAAGAGAAATCGCATCTGTTTCCTCTCTTCTTTCCTAATATACATTCTACATGCCTTATGGACTCATAATATTAGGTGCCAAACTGAAAAGTGTACTTTTATGGTACCTATTTCATTTTCCTAAATAACATAATTCAAGTATGTAAATTAAGATGCATAACCCGCAGTAAGTAGAGGTGAGTAGAAGTATAAGACTGACAAGTTCAAGTACAAGCTGATTACAGGGAAAGTTCACCATTGTCTGCAATCAAAACTTTAATTTTGGTTGTTCCACTCTAGTTGCATTCGGCTTCTATCTTATACACCACATCTATTCTGGACAGCACCTTTCTGAATACAACATGACGACCATCCAACCTGTTGAACATTTAACTTTTGTTAGATTTTCAGGCTTAATAAAGATCTGAAAATGGATGACAGTTTTCTCATAATAGCAGGATCATAAATTGTATAGTTACTAGCTGGTCGTCACAGATGAAAAATTGTGAACCATTAGTGTCCTGCCTAGCATTTACCATAGACCTAAGCCTTGAAAATTGGACAAAAATAATAAGATGACACAATGAATGCTTTCACACTGTGAAACTCAGAAGTCTGAAATCATGGAGTGAGATGGTATTAGGGAAGGGGAGGGCATATATAGGCAGTTCTCCTACCAGGTCTGGTATGTTTGATTTTCAAATTTTCATCAGCAAACTTCTCCCCATAAATTGACAGTGTCTTAGCTTTTGAATGAAATTAGAGTAGGACACAGTCAATGGAATTGTAGGATGTCATCAAAATTAACCCACATAATAAGTCAAACCTGATCATAATGGTATAACATTTTCAATCACAGAACAATACATTGAATATTCATAACTATAAGTCAGAATCAAGAAATTACCATGTTGGTATGGCCAACTCTCTTTACTGGGGCCTCGCCTGATTGCGCAGTAATTAGTAAGGAAAGGAGGATCTTGACGTTTCACACAATGACATGACATTGTAATTGCAACTTCTGCATAATCCATTCTCCAACTTTGAAATAACAAGATCAACTAGCTCAATATACTTTTAAGAATCCTCCAATAAAATTAACATGTGACCTCTATATAGCGGTTAGTTAAGTGACATTATTTTCCAATCCCGCCCAATTGACTAGGTCAACATATCCAATTGCATCAATTAGTGGGACTTGGAACCTCATATCTTATCATCTCATCTTTTTTGCTAAAGCTAGGATTCATTAGCTCATATTCTATAAGTTCTTCTAGAAATCAAATAAACTGAAATAAACATCATTTTTAGATTTACGAAATAAAAATCTGACTGAATTATAAGCTACAAACTAATTGGATTATACTATCAAATTGAATTATTTATTGTTTAACTACCAACCTTCAACCAAAATGCCCGTTAGCAAAGCTTCGGTCCCAGTTTTTGGGTGCTGAACTTCCTGGCCTACATCTACGCAATTGCAAATGACTTTATTGCTCTCGCCATCCATCTACACACCATTGTTCAATTGTTCTCAGTGCGGCAGTGCCAACATCCAAAATAAATCTTTAAACAATAAAATTCAACAACAACCCATGTTTAAATTTTTAAATAAACACAAAATTGAAAAACATACTTAGGTTTTCCCTCAGATGCATTTCTCTCCAGCTTTCTACAAACTCAAAATTGATAACAGGAAAAATAACTCAAATGAACAATAAATAAATGTGCATAGACAACGTACGTGAATG